GCGCCTGGAGTCCGGGGGCGCGAGTCTCTGCGCGGGCCCACGCATTGCGTGTCGAGGAGGCCGGTGGGGGCCTGCGTGGGGGTCGAGGAGCAGAGCCCGCCTCTTTCGCGACCTAGTCGTGCGCGCTGGGCCTTCACCTGATTGAGTGAGGCTCACCTTCAGTGTGGCGCGCGCCACGTGCTGTGCTGCGATCCATGCTCTAAACCTTAATCTCGTCCCCAAACACCCTGCCGCGACACTGTCCTCATGGTAAACAGGAATCAGCCCCACCCGGTCAGGGTCCTGGCCCCTACCCCAGCTGGCCATCGAGGCACAAGGGAGCTGCTGCATCGGGTCTAAAAGCCCAGTTCAGATTGGGGCCAAGACTCGGTTTCCCTTTTGGAACAGGAGGCTAGAGAGTTGTGGGAGATTGGAGGAGGTGGGGCCGGGAGCTGGAACCCTGAGCAGATATGGAGGTAGGTACAGTCTGGGATCCACCTGGAAGCCAGGCCTTGCACCTTTACCTCTGTCACTGTCACCTCCGCAGTTTCCTCTGATGAGAGGGAGGGTCCCGTGCACAGAGGTGGTGCAGGGACAACCGTGGTGGCCTGTGGTGGCCTTGGTCGCAGGGCCTGTGTGCCCCCACTGGAGGTGGTAGATGCTCCCCTCTGACTCTGCCAGCGTCTGCCCTGAGGGTCTTCGTCCCCTCCTGCCCTTGTCAGACTGAGGCTACAGAGAGGGTGTTGGCAGGGGGCCACCCGGAGACGGGGAACTGAGCTACAGATGTGCAGAAAGCCAGGCAGGGCGGGGCCTCAGGCGGGAGGTGAGCAGAACTGAGTGTCAGACTCTGGTCAGGAGCACCTTTCCATGTGGCGTGTCCCAGACACCCGCAGTGACCACAGGGCCGGTGGTGAGTGACAGCCGGCCCCATGGCCCCTTCGTCCTGGCCTTGGGTGATGCCTGTGAGTGCCCGTAGCACATAGCCCTGAGTGCCCATGGGCTCGTGGCACCAGCTCTCAGTGGGCGGGAGGAGCTCTCCCTGTGCCCTCGTGCTGGTCACATTTGTGCAGCCCTGCTCAAGCAGCTCCCTGTGCTCCAGGCCTGGTCTGGGGGCTCAAGGTGGGGATGCAGGGCACATGGGGCCTCCCAGGTGGGGTCCCCCGCACTGAGGGAGTTGGCATCAGGCAGCCTGGGGACCTCATGTTGTCCTGTGGGCCAAGCAACCTGGGCTCTGGGACCTCAGAGGGCAGGTGGTGCCAGCAATGATGTTGACAGGGTGTCACTGCTGCGGTCGCTGCAGGACTTGAGCAGGTGCCTCTGAGGTCTCCTCTGTGGCACAAGAGATCCCAAGTCCGCCTCAGGCAACATCAGCATCCTGGCCTCCTGCCACCTGTTCCTCAGGGCAGAGACCCAAGGGCCTGGCTTGGCAGGAAGAGCAGAAATCGGCTCCAGAGACTGGCTCCTCCAGGGGTGCTGGAGCCAACACCTTGACTGTCCCGTGGCACCTGGTGGGAAAGACGCACATGTGGGCGAGGCCTGGAGAAACAGGGTCCCAGTTCCACTCCTGGGTCTGCACCCACGATTGGTGAAAACTCATCCACAGTGTGCACGACGGTGCTGTTCATGGCGGCTGAAGTGGCAGGAGCAGCCCAGGTGTCCCCTTGCTGCTGGGTGATGACCTGGGTCCATCTACACACAGGGCCACTGAGGAGCTGGCCCAGGGCAGGCCAGGCAAATGGGAG